TTCTGATTTGCTGCTCAAGAAACATTTATTATAATTATCAAGCAATTTTATATATTTTTTTTGTTGCAGAAACTGTGATACTATAAAATAAATAAAAAGAAGAAAATCAATATAAAATTAATACATTAAAACAATAGAATAAATGTATTGCAGATATACAAAGAGTATTAAATAATTCAAATAGATGTGTGTGTGTGTGTGTGTGTGTGTGTGTATGTGTACTGGTTTATATATATCCTGGTGGGGACTTAAACCTGATTACACACAGATTCATGGGGACTCGTGTCATGGTGGGGACCTAAATTGTGGTCCCCATGGGTACAAAAGCTTATAAATCATACAGAATGAAGTTTTTTGAAAATCTAAAAATGCAGAAAGTTTCCTGTGAGGGGTAGGTTTAGGGGTAGGGTTGGTGTAGGACAATAGAATATACAGTCTGTACAGTATAAAAACCATTACGCCTATGGAGAGTCCCCACAAGGATAGCTGACCAGACATGTGTGTGTGTGTGTGTGTGTGTGTGATAGTAACTCTCCCAAAAGTTGCAATGTTCAGAAAGAATGACAAAACACAAGTGCACTTTGACCCTCAATCTTTGTCCAGCCTTTTAAAGACCCAGCCACGCATCCACACTATTTCAACATATTGCACAGAGGTTTACACATGTTTTGAAATCTCTTTTTCACATTCACACCATGTTTGAGGTTTACCCACAGAGATGAGCAATATTTTAATTATATGTATTTAAAATACACATTTAATTACTTTTGAGTATTTAGTCATTTGTATTTTGCTGGGGGATAGTTCACCCAAGAATGAAAATTCTGTTGTTAATTACTCAGCCTCGTGTCGTTCCTCTCCTGCAAGACCTTTGTTCATCTTCGGAACATAAATGAAGATATTTTTTGATGAAATCCGAGAGCTTTCTGTCCAGACATCATTAAAGCAGTCCATATGATTCCAGTGGTTTAACCTCAATTTTATGAAGTGAAGTGAGTGCTTTGTTTGCGCACTCCTAACAATACAGTTTCGCCGGACAACTTCATTTGTGACACGCTGATAAATCTAGCGTAGCGTTAGTTCTGGCAGGTCACGTTAGTCAAGCTAGCATCAGCTGACTCTCAGCTGATCCCCATCAACCTATAGGATACGACACCTATCTAAGCATTCATATATAAGGCCCTCAGTATTATCAGCAGTTTTCGCATTGCTCAATAGCTAATTACCCTCCTCCATCCCCAGCTCCTCCTCTGTCAGTCAGGATTCAACCTTCTGATTCTCCTTTGAATCAGACTAATTCTAAAATGTGTACATAACATTATTGAACTTTAACAATATCTGCAATACATTTAGGTTGGTTCTGTTCTGTTTACCCTGGGGGGGGAGGGGGGGGGGGGGGGGTTTTGAGGTTCATTCGCGTGCGCTTTTCATGTGAGGGGTAGGTTTAGGGGTAGGGTTGGTGTAGGACAATAGAATATACAGTCTGTACAGTATAAAAACCATTACGCCTATGGAGAGTCCCCACAAGGATAGCTGACCAGACATGTGTGTGTGTGTGTGTGTGTGTGTGTGTGATAGTAACTCTCCCAAAAGTTGCAATGTTCAGAAAGAATGACAAAACACAAGTGCACTTTGACCCTCAATATTTGTCCAGCCTTGTAAAGACCCAGCCACGCATCCACACTATTTCAACATATTGCACAGAGGTTTACACATGTTTTGAAATCTCTTTTTCACATTCACACCATGTTTGAGGTTTACCCACAGAGATGAGCAATATTTTAATTATATGTATTTAAAATACACATTTAATTACTTTTGAGTATTTAGTCATTTGTATTTTGCTGGGGGATAGTTCACCCAAGAATGCTGCTGCTCTCCCTGCTCTCATCCATGCTAGGCTGCATGGAGGCGCAGGGAGTTCTGGCCCAGAACAGAACCATACCGCCAATCCAAACTGTATGCTAATTGTCAATCATCTTTGATGTTAGTGGTCCTGACAGAAATAAATGATAAAGGAGCGATAAAGAAACATGAAAAAACAAAGCATAGACATGCTTGATGGTATTCAAGTAAACACAGAAATTCGAAGAAATATGGATCAATATGTTGGATATATTAGGGTTAAAGAATATGTTGCTTGTTGTATTTTGTATTGTATTTTTTTTTTTGTATTTTCAAATTACAAATGACTTGTATTTTAATGAAATACATTTGATGAGCAAGTATTTGTAATGTGTAACAAAATACTTTTTGATGTATTTGTGCCTGTCTCTGTTCAGCCATGCATTTAAATTAATTAGAAACATGCTACATTACATTTAAACTACATTTGCTTCACACATGCAGCTGCTAAAATGGACAAAGACAAAACAGTTGTGCAACCCAGAGTGGGTTCATGATAGTCCACGCTGCAGATTGATATGCCTTTTGAAATCTTCAGGCTTGCTAAACAGGAACGTGCCATTATTGAAATGCCTGGCTCATGGTGTTGAGGCTCTTCTCTAACTGTACAACAGATGGCAGTGTAATGTAAGTAACACGAAGATCCGTGGAAATAAAGGCACTGTGAAGGAGTGTTTGTATTCCTTGAATTCAGTGACTTACAGGTGGACAGCTAGGCCTTCATAGATTTGGACTTTTGATAGGTATGTTTGGAGTCAGACTGCGCTGTCTAGTACTGAAACACTGTGTGCCTCACTCATGATGTACTGCAGAATGTTTATTGGCTGTAATATCTCAATGTCTGCCAAAACTCTGGGTGACACTGTTAGGGTTACGAACAGAACATCTGAGGAATCTCAGCTGTCTTCAGCCTCCCTAACGTTGCCCTTACAATAAACTTCATTTGATGAACCTCAATAGTACAGTACTATTCAAAAAATGTGGGGTCAGTGAGATTTAGTTTTTTAAACCAAAGTAAAAGTTCTTTTTGCAAACTGTTTTTTATTTATTTTTTAATCAAATAATACATTTCTAATGTAAAAAAAATTATATCTCAAATAAATGCTGTTCTTTAGAACTTTCTATTCATCGAAGTATGCTGAAAAAAACGTGACACTGACAATAATCAGCAATGTTTCTTGAGCATCATATCAGCATATTAGAATGATTTCTGAAGATCATGTGACACTGAAGACTGGAGAAATGATGCTGAAAATACAGCTTTGATCACAGCAATAAATTACAGTTTACAATATATTCACATAGAAAACAGTTATTTTAAATTGTAATAATATTTCACAATATTACTGTTTGTCTATGTATTTTTGATTAAATAAATGCAGACTTGGTGAGCAGAAGAGACTTCGTTTATCTCACGTGCTTCATGAAAGCAAAGGAATCTGTCACAGTTTGCTTACATTTGATCTAAAGAATCTAAATATCCCTTCTTCATTTTAAACTTCTGTTTTACAATTTGCATAATCCTAAAACATGCTGTTTATTTTCACTTCTAACTGTTAAAACAAACAAACAAACAAACAAATAAATAAATAAATAAATACGTAAATAAAATCAAATGTTTAGTGTGGTCTTAGATAAATTCTATATTAGAGACAATCTTTATAAATTAAAAACTGCTGGACAAAAACATTGGGGATAAATATTACTTGTGCCTGAAAGGAAAAGCATTCCCTTCACTACCTTTCATATTCACATCACCAGCTGCATTAAGTCAGCATAGGTCTAAGACAGCGTAGTACACTATAGATTCAATGACGCGTGTACTTTACTGCGTTCTAAGTTCTAACATCACCAAAAACGGTCAAAAACAAATGCCATTTCAGAAGTGATAATAAGCACATTTCTATGCATATCATGCATCATGCACATTCAGAATAAAACGTTCTAATGCAATTAACCATAGAAGGCAAAAGCGCAGAGGATGGGGACATAAACAGTCACTTTGGGAAATGTCAGTCTCCGGCTTAAAATAAATCAGTGCATACGGATCAGTGAGCAACAGGTGGGTCCTTCCATACAAAGGCGACTTGAATGCAAAGGCTGTGCCTGTCATGCTATTGCTATGAGTGAGTGCCGTCTAACTCACATAGAGAAACACATAACTGACTTTCAGAAAAAAATATGATTTAATAATACAATGCAGCAGTTAAAGTGGGTTCACAACATGAATCCAAAATTAACTGTGTGAAATTTGCAAATACCACTAGAACAGGTTTAATGAATAATCATCTGTGAATGTATTGTGAACTTACTTATAATCATGAAATAATATTTATTATAGGTTCTGCATCGATTGTCGCTAGTGATATTAGCACCAGCTCTGTGACAAGTGTTTATTTCTTACACTGAAGAAAAAAAAGTGAAATTATTTCCACTCAAAAATAGCTAGTAAATTATAAAGAAACGGCAAGTAACACATTGAATTAAACAGTACATTTTGAAGTGGAAAATCTGAAATAGTATTTTCTTGTAAAACACACAATAATGTAATGTAATGTAAATTTGAAAAATCTTTTTACTCATTTTATTTATTCATTTCACCGTGCACAATTCCCTTCATCATCATTTTCACGCTAAATCAGGAGCTCTGAATTTTGGCAGTACATGTTCTGAGGATATGTACATACACACTGTTGATACATAACAACACCCTGTAAATGTGTACAATGTGTTCCCTTCTATAAAAATGGCATTGTTGGTATTTTCTCGACACTTTCTGCATCTCGTCCCCCTCATCTCACTGTAAGCGTATCCAGCAGCTGGCCCTGTCTGTCTCGAGCTGAGCGCACAGATCGCAGGGCCTGACTGCAGCACACACACACACACACACTCACTCTCTCTACTATCTGCTGCAACTGCATCTCACAGCTTTGATATGAGGCTGACCAATGGATTCTAAAGCTGATTCGAAGCAGAACGTTCTAAGGTGAACATGAAGGTCCTCGGAAACATCCCACTGATAGTTTTTCTGGCGTATTTCAGCCTGTGTGACGGGCTCCAGAGAGGTGAGTCACGGCTTGCTGACCAATGGATTCTAAAGCTGATTCGAAGCAGAACGTTCTAAGGTGAACATGAAGGTCCTCGGAAACATTCCACTGATAGTTTTTCTGGCGTATTTCAGCCTGTGTGACGGGCTCCAGAGAGGTGAGTCACGGCTGCTGATTGTGTTGTGCGAGCATTAGCCACATGGTGAACTGAGGCAGTTTGTTGATTATTAGGACATTATTATTAATATTATTATTACGGATCTGGGGAATTCATTGAAAATGCTTTGGTTTTCATTAAACATGGAAATAAAGTGTTAGCATTTTGAAAAACGGTAATGCCATTCAACATTCTGAAATATTTCTAGGTTGGTAACATGCATATTTCTAGATTTGTGACATGTGCCAAAGGCCAGAGTGTTGATTCCATTGAAGCACAAGATGCTCTTTTGGAACATTCTCAAATCAAGCTGGATAACACGGATCATGAGGTTTTTCTAAAAACGACAACTTCTTGTCATTAAGAAGTTCTGAAACTCAGGTGCATTTTCATTTTATTTCTAATATTGACAACATAATGTGTAATAGAGTGTATTAGGAGTGTTATCATCCTTTATCGACGGACGTGATAACGTCATAGGGAGTGATAACGTGAATTATGAGTGTTTGATTTTTGGGTATTATAACACATGCTGGAGATGTTGCTTTTTGCGTAGTTCATTATACTTATTTTACAGAATAAAGTTTATTTTGGTTTGTATTTTGCTTAAAAAAATGACACATTTGGCCTGTCAAAAATTTGAGACATTAATTTGGCCCAAATTCATTTGACTTTTTAGTTTATTTAAACTTCATTTAATTTCATTTTTAAAACCGGGAAAGGAGTGGTTTTGATGCACGAAGTAGTTCAGCTAGGTAAGGTATATGCTAATAAAAATAAAATAAAATAAAGTTTAATTTGTCTTGTATATTGCTTAAAAAAATACATGTTATTCAGAGTCTGACACGTTTGGCCTGTCAAAAATTTGAGATGTTCATTTCGCCCAAATTCGTTTGACGTTTTCGTTTATTTTTATTTTATTTTATTTCATTTTTAAAACTGGGAAAGGAGTGGTTTTGATGCACAAAGTAGTTTAGCTAGGTAAGGTATATGCTAATAAAAATAAAATAAAACAAAATAAAATAAAGTTTAATTTGTTTTGTATTTTGTTTAAAAAAATACATGTTACTCAGAGTCTGACACATTTGGCCTGTCAAAAATTTGAGACATTCATTTGGCCCAAATTAGTTTGACGTTTTCGTTTATTTTTATTTTATTTCATTTTTTAAACCGGGAAAGGAGTGGTTTTGATGCACAAACTAGTTTAGCTAGGTAAGGTATGTGCTAATAAAAATAAAATAAAATAGTAAAATAAAAAAAATAAAATAAATCTAATATTTCCACCTCTATCGAAAAACGTACAGTCCATTGTCACAATACATGGGTTAAGTTGTCACAATTGAAGCTGCTATTAAACAGCCTATCATTAGGATTTTTAGAAAAGCAGGTGTGAAACTAATGACATAATTCAGCAAAATGTGAAATGCACATAAACATTAAGAAAGCGCTACATAAGATATCTGTTTTATTCATGTTTCACCATGGCAATAACGGATGAAGTTTGTTGTGAAAGGAGCTGTTTCTGACATGTGCTGCTGTATAATAATAATAGTATCAATGGCCACACATAATACATACTTCATGTCATCATAGATTAAAGCAGAGGACGGAAGCTTCCAGCATGTTCCTTCCACAATATGCACACCATATCATGCTCAAATGCTAACCTATAATTTTCAAATCAAGTCAAATAACATTTTTTCTCACATTTTCTTTGCACCCACAGTGAATAATAATTCATTACAGTCTAATTTCCTTTACTATGTGAGAAAAGCATTTACATAAAGATCACATCTGTAGAATAATTTACAATGCTTTACAGTATCAGTCTCAGAATCACTGACAGATGAAATGGACATCAGAAGGTATCTTATTTAAACTGTGGAAAGACGTCAATACACACCATTTTTCACGTTCAAGTTCACCAGCGTTAATCTACTTTCCTGTCTGGTTTGTTTGACGGACAAAATGGCAGATTCTGCGTTATGATTGGTCAGATCGCATGTCAATCAAAATCTCCCGGCGAAGGGTGAATTGCTAAATAAAGTAATTGCGTGTAGTTGTATACATAGTCTAATTAGTTTAAAAAATATATCTTTTGCTGTTGACGTCGAAGTTTGTATCTAATCAAATTCTATGATATTTTGGTCCAAATTCATCTGTATCTTGGCAGCAAAGTAAAGTAGATGCCAACAGTGACATGCCTTCATCCTGAAAACCTATGAAAGGTCAAAGGAAATATGACCCAGGCTACATTAATTAGGTTACATTTGGGAGTGTTGCTACTCCATATCCAGTGCGCAATTTGGATGCTGGAACAAAACCAGATGAAACTCACTCTCAACAGATGATGCCAAAATGGTATGCGATCAGATGGTAAGGTATGAATTTGATATTGACGTACACGCTTCCTCAATCAAATTAATAGCATCAGTAGCTGTTCTACACATCATCGGGTTGTCAGTGAGCTGTGGATTGAAAATGAATGCTCCTTCTCACCCTTTGCATACAGAATGTCCTTCTTGGTATCACACCAAATGTCATTCACACAGGGACGTACCTGTAAAAACAGGACAATGGCGATGTAGAACACGACTAGTAGCCAAAAAGACAAAATGCAGCAAAAAATAGCAAAGACTAACAGTAACACTCTCAGAAGTTTGACTAATGTTCTGACAAGGTTCTCTCAAACAAACGTTTGTCAAGTAAGGTTAACAAAGTAATCTGGTCTTCAATAATGTTCTTAAAACATCAGCACAAACATTAATGGAATGTTTTTTTTTAGACTTTACTAATATTGCAAAATAGACCTTAAAGGGGTCATATGATGCGATTTCAAGTTTTCAAGTGCATAGATAAGATCCCTGAAGTTGCAAAGACTAAAGTCTCAAAACCAAAGAGATATTCTTTATCAAGGTTAAGACTCTGCCACGCCCCCCTAAAACGGCTCGTTCTAACACGCCCCCACATATCTACCTCACTATGGCGCTTGTGTGTGTGTGAGAGAGAGAGAGACAGGGTCACATCGCAGTGGAGTCAGCTGTCTTAACCGTGGCTTGTGTAACTTTATCATTACTGTGTCTGTTCCCCTTTCGGGCTTGAACTGATGGTAAAGCTAATGACATTATTTACTGTCTTTACATTTATTTTGAAAGATGAAGCTTGCGATTATGGTAAAGGGCGTTACATTTCCGACGAGTGCTTGCAGTGTTCGGCCAATCACAATGCACTGGGTCAGCTGGCCAATCAGAGCAGACTGTGCTTGTCGGAAGGAGGGACTTTGTAGAAAACGAAGCGTTTGAGAGAGGCGGGGCATAGAGGACCTACAATAATGTACAGTATTTGAAAAATAATGCGTTTTTTGAACATTAAAGCATGTCAACATATTCTGTTACACCAAATACACAAAATAATGATCTTTAAAAAAGCATCATATGACCCCTTTAATGTTTTCTCTAACATTCGCATAACCAAGAAAAAACTATGTTTTTTTTGTTTTTAAACTGGACATTTTGAATGTTCAAAGACCATTCAGAAAAGAAAAAAAAATCTTAGAACACACATTTTTGTTGGGCTTTTCCTAAAAATAAATAAATAAATAAATTTCAATATTTTACATACAATGACCTGCAAACATATTTGGCCACTTGAGTCACACTTAAAAATGTCTGAATCTCACTGCATTAGATATCAAAGCGAATGCTATATGCAAACAAATGAATGCCACACCTTTTCCAAAGAGTTGGACAAAAGAATACATGTAATTGATTTATTGTAAATGACGTCATTTGTTTACATCAAAAAAAAAAACAACAACATGGTTTTGACATGGTACTCATCCCAAAAAACATGGAATTGACATGATAAACATTCAAAAAAAAATCTGCATGGTTTTATCATGGTGCTCATCCCAAAAACATGGAATTAACATAATAAACATAAAAAACAACAACAACATGGTTTTGACATGGTTCTCATCCCAAAAACATAGAATTAACACGATAAACATAAAAAAACTAAACAAAAAAACAACAACATAGTTGTATCATGGTACTCATTCCAAAAAACATGGAATTGACATGATAAACATTCAAAAAAAAATCTGCATGGTTTTATCATGGTACTCATCCCAAAAACATGGAATTAACATAATAAATATTCAAACAAAAAAATAAAAAAAACAAATTCAAGTTACCATGTGGCCCTTAAAAAACTTTTTTTGTTGCAGTAATGAGACCTAAAATCCAGTCTGCCCTCAGTCATGGGAGGGATGTGTTTCTTATCAGCTGGATTTATTCACATCAGGCCTGTGTTGGCAGCATTCAAACAGTTATTTCCATTGGAAACATGTCCTCCCGCCGTGACCCTCAGCTGTCTGCGGTGTGCCGAGCGGCAATCAGAATGTAAAATATTTTGTTTTGAAAAAGTAGTTTCACAACCGTTACAATGTCTGATTTATAATTATTCAGGGTCAAATGCTAAAAAGCATTTCTTGTAAGCCTATCTTATTTCATAACATGATTACTGAAGGGTGAATATAAAAATACCGCTTTGTATACAGTAACTGAACATTTTTATTATGATCTGATGATGAAAATATTTCTTTCCTTCTCTATTTCAGCACCCAGAATCACAACACTGCTCGAGACAGTGGACGCCTCTCTGGATCATAACACTACTTTCATCTGTGAGGTTGATTCATACCCTCAAGCTGATATTACATGGACGCGGAATAACTACCCAATACGGTTTGAACTTTCTTCATTAACTTGATTCTTATATGCCATCCATAAAAAAAAAACCCAGCTTCTCCTATATAGTCAGCAAAGTCTCAAACTGTGCTCAGGTTACCAGTGGTTTGTGGTTCATTTACTTTTTGAATGCAGGTATTACGATTCCAGATACACCATACGAGAAAATGGCCAAATGCTGATCATTCCCAATGTAAAGGATTCAGACAATGGAGAATACTGTTGCGTTAAAAAAATGTGTTGTGCAACCAATAATTAGTAGTCATTTAAAATATCATGATATTTGACTTTTTTATGACAAGGCAAGATTAGTTCAGATTGTACAATGTCATGTGGTGCAACTCACCAAAACGTAATGATCTATCCTTTAATAATTCATGATATTTGAACAAAATACATGCACAATATATTTTAAATTAACCTATTTATTTATTGGCCAATAATAGTGCATTATTATAATAGGCTAAAATATAGCTTTAAGTTGGTAGTTTTACCACATCACATTTTTATTACATTCAAAATTCAAAACTATATAAAACCAACATGTGCACAAAGTCTGCGTTTCTAGTGGCCTGATGAGCTTTAAGCTCGATTTTTGAAAGATTTTCCGTTTTCTTATTTGTCATGGACTCTCCTGTAGCTCCTGCCAAGATACTGAAAGTTCCCAAGGAGAAGAAAGTTCAGATCGGATCGGAGGTTACGACATCTCTTTCATGATGAGCAAATTTTATTTTTATTTGTATTTTTTATTAAAATTCATTGAGGGACATAATGTCTTTATCAAAATGAAATAAAATTAAATATGAATTTTTTAAAAATAAGCCTTTAATTAAAGACTAGTTTGATGAAATCTGTTATTATCTACAAAAAAAAAAATACTTTAACAAAAATCTTTTTAATATTAATAACAAAAATTTTCCAATAAAATAAAAAAAAATGTGTTGTGCAACCAATAATTAGTAGTCATTTAAAATATCATGATATTTGACTTTTTTATGACAAGGCAAGATTAGTTCAGATTGTACAATGTCATGTGGTGCAACTCACCAAAACGTTATGATCTATCCTTTAATAATTCATGATATTTGAACAAAATACATGCACAATATATTTTAAATTAACCAATTTATTTATTGGCCAATAACAGTGCATTATTATAATAGGCTAAAATATAGCTTTAAGTTGGTAGTTTTACCACATCACATTTTTATTACATTCAAAACTATATAAAACCAACATGTGCACAAAGTCTGCATTTCTAGTGACCTGATGAGCTTTGAGCTCGATTTTTGAAAGATTTTCCATTTTCTTATTTGTCATGGACTCTCCTGTAGCTCCTGCCAAGATACTGAAAGTTCCCAAGGAGAAGAAAGTTCAGATCGGATCGGAGGTTACATTGGAGTGCAATGCCACTGGCAACCCAATCCCATCCATAACTTGGCTTGAAAACGGCAATACGGTAAATCCTCTTTCATTCATTTTTCTCTATCTTTCCCATCCTCTGCACCTTTCACCTCTCAACTTCATGCTTGCTTTGGCTCTACAGAGCAAATTACTTATATTTTCATCTCATCTTACTGGGCCAGAGAGCAGAGCTCAGTACATTCATGTTAAATGTCAGACGGCATTTCTCGAATGCGCTGCCAGTACAATGACGGGAGGCCTGCGTTCTGCAGATGCTTCGGTCTGTGCCACTATTAACAGGATTCAAACTACAATCATTCCTCGGGCTGTGGTCGGACAGCAGCAATAAAGTTTAAGCCGTATTGAGATCAAGAAAATAATTCAAACACCCCAGTGCTCTTATCATTATTTGGGATTATTTTTTTATGTGGATTTTGCTAGACAGAAACAAAGAGAACCGAAAAGTGATCAGCAGTCTTACGTGAAGATATTGTCTGAAAACAAGCGTGTACGTCTTTAAACCCAAGAGAATCCAAGATTCAGATTTCTCAGGCTCCTGAACAAACTGTGCTGTCTCTGTTTTCATTTGCATAACAGCAATCATACTTTAATACAATATTTGTTGAGAAATGTGTAAATAAATTTTGGTTTGGCTAAGCGGCTATGGTTGAAACTTCTATTTTTTGTCACGAAATGTAACAACTGTCAAAATTATGCTGTTTTCTGTAAATCTGACAACACTCTTGTGTTTCTTATTCATGGGTTCTTGCTTTTTGATTTATTTGCTTTTCTTTTGAAAATATTTTGTTGCAGAATGTATGAGGTTGCACTAGTGTGTGCACTAGATTTGCACATACGGTGCTTTCATGCGAGTACATTTTGGACACTTTTTATTGTAACAGCAATTACATTTTTTTTTGTAAGCTAGCACATATATGACCTCAGAGCAATCAGACATGGACTAAAATCACAAAACTTTATTTATTTATTTGTATGCACACATAGTGTTGTGGTTATGTGCATTTAAATGTTCACCACCTGCAGTTCTTTTACTTAATTAATGTGTATTAATTTTTACATTTTGTTTAAAATTTCCATTTTAATTTTAGCTAATGTTTTAGTCAGTTTGTTGTGTGTTTTTACAATTTTTAGTATTTTTTAATGTCTTTATCGTTTTATTAGTTTTTATTTTAGTTTTAGTTATTTTAGTACATCAAGCTGACAAAAAACAAACAAACATGTATTTAAATATATTTAAACTTTGTGTTTTTAGAATGATCCATTTAATTGGGACTATGGCTGTGTGAAGTTGCTGGATATTGGCAGGAACTGGAACACGCTGTCGTATACGCCGATCCAGAGCATCCCAAACATGCTCAATGGGTGACATGTCCGGTGAGTATGCTGGCCATGCAAGAACTGGGATGTTTTCAGCTTCCAGAAATTGTGTACAGATCCTTGCAACATGGGGCCGTGCATTATCATGCTGCAACATGAGGTGATGGTCGTGGATGAATGGCACAACAATGGGCCTTTTTAACATTGCTGTGATAAAGAGTTTGATCTGATGAAGATGATGACTGAGAGATGAATTTTAACCTCTGACCCCCAGAGCATCTTTGAAACCCATGAGTTGATATTAGACGCTTGATTAAAATTAGCCGTCTGAGTGTCGTTCTGGCAGGACTCGCAGCTCATTAGTTTTCTTTAGCCTGATGAAGTGCCTTCTAAAATCAGCTGCATGAGCTCTTTGTCAAATATAGAGCCGCGATCGACATTCCTACAGGCTCTCATAATCTGCTCATAAACTCAACAAATCACATTAGCAAAATAGCAGGAGTCTTAACACATCCAAACGATAAATAGAAGGATTTGTTATAATTGTTGGAATAATCATGTGACTTGCATTTGACCCATCACTTCTATTCTTTTCTGTTCTATTCTGCACATAAACAGTGAAGATCGCTAGTGACTATCTTGTAATAACTACAAAAACAAATAGTAGTGCAATTATATACTGGAATCTCTGTGCTATTAAAGATAATATCATGACAGTTTTAATTACAAAAAGAAGTTGATTGGATGAGCCATATTTAAAAAGCCTATGCATACCTGCGATAACACACTGAATTTATATGAATGCAGCAATTTATCTTGTAGCTGCTATATTGCGTGGCTGTATTACTTGCCAGAAATGGAGCGTAGCTATAGTTGTGGCAGGCCATGTTAGTCAAGCTCGCATCAGCTGACGCTCAGCGGATCCACGTCTACCTATAGGATCACGACACCAATCATAATTCCCTTTATAAGGTCCTTCAGTCATTATTCAGCAGCTATCGCTTCGCTCAGGAGCTAATCACCCACCTCCATCCCCAGCTCCTCCTCTCGTCCAGTCAGGACTTGGCAGTGAATATATCATTGAGTCAGACCACTGAATCATGTTAAAATAATCACGTAGAACATTAATGATATCTGCTACATTTATCATTCATGTTGGTTCTGTTCTGTTACCCTAGGGGGGTATTCTGCACTCCCTGCTCCTATCCATGCTAGGCTGCATGGATGGGGAGGGAGTGTTTGCCCAGAACAGAACCATTCCCCCAACCTAAAATGTATGCTAATTGTAAGTTATATTGACGATAGTGGTCCTGACAGAAGTTTGCTTTTGATTGTTATTATGATTTCAACCGTTCAAATGTTCGAGGTTGGTAACTTTTTTTTTTAATGTTTTTGAAAGAAGTCTCTTATTACTTATTACAAAGGATGCAATTATTTGCTCAAAAAGAAGTAATAATGTGAAATATTTGTACAATTTAAAATAACCGCTCCATGCTAGGCTGCATGGATGGGGAGGGAGTGTTTGCCCAGAACAGAACCATTCCCCCAACCTAAAATGTATGCTAATTGTAAGTTATATTGACGATAGTGGTCCTGACAGAAGTTTGCTTTTGATTGTTATTATGATTTCAACCGTTCAAATGTTCGAGGTTGGTAACTTTTTTTTAATGTTTTTGAAAGAAGTCTCTTATTACTTATTACAAAGGATGCAATTATTTGCTCAAAAAGTGATTTTACCACGGTTAATGTATGTGAGGGTGCAGCTGATGTTTGTTTGCTTGTTGTCTGTAGATTTCCGGCGCGTCAGTGGAGGAGACCGATAGTGGTCCTGACAGAAGTTTGCTTTTGATTGTTATTATGATTTCAACCGTTCAAATGTTCGAGGTTGGTAACTTTTTTTTTTAATGTTTTTGAAAGAAGTCTCTTATTACTTATTACAAAGGATGCAATTATTTGCTCAAAAAGAAGTAATAATGTGAAATATTTGTACAATTTAAAATAACCGCTTTCTATTTGAATATATGTTCAAATGTAATTTATTCCTGTGATCAAAGCTGAATTTCCAGCATCATTACTCCAGTCTTCAGTGTCTGATGCTCAAGAAACATTTCTGATTATTAGCAATGTTGAAAACAGTTGTGCTGCTTCAGATTTTGCTTCAGGATTCTTTGATGAATAGAAAGTTCAGAAGAACTAACTTTATATTTTGTAACATTTAAGTCTTTGTTGTCACTTTTAATCAGTTTAATGTGTCATCACTAAAAAAAAATGTATTTAAAAAAATCTTACTGACCCCAAACTTGAATGGTTGGACTCCTATATAGTCTCCTGTGTCTTTTCTGTTGTTCATATTGTCATTTTATAAAATGCAGAGGCCATGCATTACAGTGATTTTACCACGGTTAATGTATGTGAGGGTGCAGCTGATGTTTGTTTGCTTGTTGTCTGTAGATTTCCGGCACGTCAGTGGAGGAGACGCTAGTGGATGAAGTCATTGTGTCTGTTCTGCGTGTGGTGGTTCATAAACCAGCTCTCTACACCTGTCAGGCTACTAACCAGCACAGCGGAGGAGCCAACACTGTCAAAGCCACAGCTAAAATAACCGTTTCAGGTCAGTTCCAGTACTGATTCCTGCTCGATTCAACAGACTGTCTACTGCTTTGTCCCTAAAAGCCCCATCATTTCTCACAAAATATCATAGTTACTGACACTTTTGATACTCAACTGTAAAAAAGAACTAAAATGATAAGAAGGAGGGTTTGCTATAAACAGCATTTTGCCGATTTAAGAATCGTTCTAATATTTAAATTTCTTTACTTGATGGCAATGGTGGTGATATCAAATAACCATTTCATTCTAGTAGCAAGCAATATAGTTATGGTATTTAGCAGGAAGTACGGTTATCATGGCAAATGTTTATATGGGTTATAAAACCTGAAGGGGAGTGACATGAAACAATATTTTAGATATGACAGCTGTTATCATAACCGTTGTCAAATGCCTGATTTCTGCTTTACATCAGATGTTGCAACAAGGTTTTCGTGATTTTGAGTCTTTTGAACTTTCGGAACCTCAAAATAGTTAAAATGTCACTGTTATAAGCACATTATATTAAATAGTTTCCAAACGATCCTATAGTACATGTATGTGATGTATTCATAATTGAGAATGTCATCATGTGATAAACTGCACTTACAAAAAAAGTACCATGTTAATTTGGAAGCAACATTTGTCATAATACTATGGGATTCTCTAAAGTACAACGGCGTACATTTCCGTTCAAAAGTTTGTGGTCAGTAAGATATTTTATTTATTTACTTAGTCAATCAGGTAGTTAGTTTTGTAAAAAATTATTGTGATTTTAACAGTAAAAGACTGTAAAAATGCTACAGTAAAAAAACCTATTAACTGGTTAACAGTAAGTTTCCATACTATATTCGGTGAATAAATGTAATTACATTTAATGTAATTTTACAGTAAAATACTGTTAAAAATAGGGTTTTTGGAAGTGGAAAAGAAAAAGTCATTGTATAATTTACAGTGCCAAACTGTAAATTGACACTCCCAGAATTCCCTGCATGACACTTAATTTTTGATGTTTTTTTGTTGAAATAACTATGTTTCTTCTTAGTTTTTTCTTATCAGTTGTGTACATTAGGGTTTAATCTTACATCTAATGTTGTTAAATGAATGTTTATTGCATTATTTCAGTAGCATGTGTGTCACCATGATGGGGTTTAGTGTTTGTGTGAATGAGACTGTGCAACTTCTATATATAAGTGTTGCCCTCCTCAGCTCGTAGAAAAGCTGTTTGTATATTAGTAATTCAATATGTTGGTTTATTAACATTCCATCAGTTAATGAAATACGGTATTTTATTGTTAATAGATCTGTAAAACCTAAAACGTTGCTACCATATTTTTTTACGGTGAAGTTCTGGCAACCACTGCTGCCGGTATTTTACCGTAAATATCACAGATTTTTTTTACAGTGGTATAGTGATTGAGATAGAAATTATTACTTTTTATTCTGCAAGAATGCTTTACAATTGATCAAAAAGTGACAGTAAAGATATTTCTTTAGTCTATTTCAAATAAAATACTGTTCTTTTGAACTTTCTATTCATCAACAATCCTGAAAAAGTATTATGGTTTCTGCGAAAATATGACGCACAACTGTTTTCAGCAGTGATAATAATCAGAAATGTTTCTTGAGCAGCAAATCAGCATATTATACTGATTTCTGAAGATCATGTGACACTGACGACTGGAGTAATGATGCTGAAAATACAGCTTTGATCGCAGGAATAAATTACATTTTACATTATATTCACATAGAAAACAGTTATTTGAAATTGTAATAATATTTCACAATATTACCGTTTTTATTGTATTTTTACAATAAAAACATGTATTCACATAGAAAACATTTCACAGAATTCCTGTTTTAAGTATATTTTTGATCAAACAAATGATGCTCCTAAGAGACATAAACATAATACCGACCCCAAACTTTTAAACAGTAGAGTACAATTAAAATACCATTGTAATTTTTCATTTACTGCCTTATTATATGCCATAGTGCTAGTTCACACAGTCAGTGCACCGAGTTACCACTGGAGTGTTTTATTGTAAGGCAGTGATGTTACCAGTCATAATGTTTTAGCAAAATCAATTCGAAATGCTTCTGTTAATAAAGGCCCATGAAACAAGTCTTGTAAACACACACCCGCTGTGACTGACGCTTTCTGCCATATGCTTCTCTGGCTGCTTTGTGTAAATATGAAGTGACTGCTCTCGAAGTTTCAGCAGCTGTGTTTCTGCTGCCAGTATTTCAGTTAGCTTCCCTTCTGTTTGCATAGCTGTTCTTCTGCCTCCTCGAAGCCCCAAAACGCATCCCTGTGCAAACATGCCCCAAATGCCGTCTTCAGGCGCTTTAGCCATGTAGAGAATGTGCACAATATGATTACGCAATATGGCACTGAATTATTGAAGTAACTGAATAATATATGCCTGCGTTGATCTTTCTATTACCAAATACTAAACAAATTATACCTGATTCTTATTAACCATTAATTCACTATTCTGCAAAGTCAGATACATTGTAGCATAATTACTGAAATGTATTGATTGTTATTTGTTTCTTATGGAAGTGGTGTCCAAAAAAAGACCTCGAGTTCAAACGTGCTGTGTCAAACTGGTTTCTTCTGTGAATTAGGCTCTTGAGTCCTGTCACATTAAAATCAGGAGGGGCGGTAAACCTCACACCTGCTGTATCTCCATGGTCTGTGTGTGTCCTCCTCTCATTCCCACAAACACTGCGTCACAGAAGCATGCTCAGGCCTGCAGGGTGGATGTGTTACTCTCTGACATTAAGCAGAGTTTGTTTGTGCTCTTCTCTCTTCTCGGGTCTGTTTCTGGTGGTGGACTCTGGATCCTGTAACTTTCCCATAGAATGGAGGTAAGAATGTATTTAGTGTCCTATTAACTGGTACTTCAGCATACAATATGACCTTTTGGACATAGTTTCTAGAGTCCAACTGAGTGAGAAAGAACAATGTCGTTTCATATTGGACCCCCAAATCAAAAGAAATTATATTTTTACATGAAGAAAATGTATTTATTTATGTATTTATTTATTCATTCATTCATTAAGACATTATTTGTATGACATTTAATCACATTACCTCACATTATTCTCACTGTAATGCAATTTTTATATATATTTTTTATTTACCACAGCAGCTGTCATGCAATATTACATTATTTATGGACTAAGAGGTATAAAAAAATAAATAAAATAAAATAAATTATTTGTATGACATTTAATCACATTACCTCACATTATTCTCACTGTAATGCAATTTTTATATATATTTTTTATTTACCACAGCAGCTGTCATGCAATATTACATTATTTATGGACTAAGAGGTATAAAAAAATAAATAAAATAAAATAAATAAATAAATGAATAAACAAATGAATAAATAACATAAGAACTCTGTACACACACAAAAGAAAATCTTACTTTTTTTGGCAAAAAAAAAACTTTTCCAAATTACATTATATACAGTGGGTACGGAAAGTATTCAGACCCCCTTAAAGCTTCTACTAAATACTGAGCAAAGGGTCTGAATACTTAGGACCATGTGATATTTCAGTTTTTCTTTTTTAATAAATCTGCAAAAATGTCAACAATTCTGTGTTTTTCTGTCAATATGGGGTGCTGTGTGTACATTAATGAGGAAAAAAAAAATACTTAAATGATTTTAGCAAATGGCTGCAATATAACAAAGAGTGAAAAATTTAAGGGGGTCTGAATACTTTCCGTACCCACTGTATACTGTATGTAATGTATATATGTGTGTGTGTGTGTGTGTATCATGGTTTCCACAAAATATTAAGCAGCAACAACTGCTTTCAACATTGATAATAAACAGAAATGTTTCTTGAGCAGCAAATCAGAATGATTTCTCAAGAATCGTGTGACACTGAAGACCGGAGTAATGATGCTGAAAATTCAGCTTTGATCACAGCAATAAATTACATTTTACAATATATTCACATAGAAAACAGTTATTTGAAATTGTAATAATATTTCACAATTTATTGTATTTTTAATCAAATGAATGCAGCCTCGGTGAGCAGAGGAGACTTCTTTCAGAAACATTTAAACTCCAAACTTATGAATGGTACTCTGTACATACATATTGTACATATAAATCATGTTAAATATTGGGTGTGCTTAATGGTCTTACAATGTAAATAATGTGTGAAACATCTTTTCTTGATGTAAAGTATAAATGATTGATTTGAA